CAACGATGAGATTGTAACATTGATAGAGATTCTCTGGTAGTTTTACAACCAGATTTAGTTTGTACCATTCAAAGGAAAGGAACGATGCTCTTATATCAAAATGTGATCAATAATTTTTACAGAATGCAAATAACGGCTAAATGGATCACAATAAAATAGAAAAAAGATCCAAAACTCAAAACAAATAAATATTGATAAAAAAACTGATATTAACCAATATAATTAAGAACGTGCTTCATAATTGGCTTACAGAAAAACCCTCAATACAACTCTAATAAGACTTAAACAAAACAAACTTGTCACTCCTCATGCCTCAATCCCAGACTATTGGAATCACCAATTCTTAACTCTCGGATGGCTAAAACAAATTGAACAATGCTTAAATTTTGGCAAAAGTGAAGATCTCTTAACTGAACAGATAATTGCCAAGTGCTTTTCACAAAACTTTGACTGAATCTTGGATAATTTTAGATGAATTTTGGATACACTAGGACGTGACCCAAGTCTCATTTTTATAACCCTAAAAGTCAAGGGGTTTAGGAGTTTATGACGGGGTTAAAAACCTTAAAAATCCTAGAAAAGCATAAAAAATGACTATGCGGCAAGTTGTTGTAAGCTCTAGCATGATATAGTGCTAATTCTAGTGAATAGCACACTACAGCAAACTAATAATTCTAGTGAGCAGTGTGCTAGGGTGGGCTTCAGCATGCTATGACAGGCTATTTTTCAATGAGCAGTGCGTTACAACAAGTTGCTATAGTAACTTTTTTTTTTTTTTTTTTTTCACTTTCAAAACCCATCCTTCATTCTTCTCCATGCCCTTTTGATCATGCTAGATCAATCCTTGATCCCCTCTTCCTTACTTAAGCCTTCATTCTATGCCTCCTTTAGGAGGGTATAATTCCCCTAAAATCATTTTCTAGGTCTTTTATTTTTGTTTGCAAATTTCAGCATACATACCTATCTTAAGTTGGTAGTGTATAGCTTGTCCTTGAACTAATTTTAGTGTCTTTTTAATTTTCCTCCCTAAGTGGGTTTACTCATCTTTTAAACCATTCATTTGTCTTGGATTAGGACTTAGTTTAGCTCTCTAAAAATTTTTACTAGCAAGGTGAAGTTGCAAAAATTTTTTTGCTCTCTCCAAAACCTCACTCAACTTTAAAATTTAAGCTTTGGTCTTCAACAAACTTTGCACCTATCCTTTCTTCTACCCATTCAACTTTCTCTCACCTGTTTCATTTCTAGTTGCAGCCCCTTAAATTCCATGACAACCTCACGAAACTCTGTAAAAATACTCTAAACTTCAAACAAAACAAAACCTTAAACTAGTATCAATCAAAACACAACTTTGTTTCTTAAAATTTTTTCCTTTAGGGTTTTGGTTCCCTCTCTGTTTTCAACATGTTGGGCACCTCAAAATTGAATCTAAGTGAATTAAATGAAAAAGCAATATAGTATCTAGCATAAATTCATAAGAAAATGCAAGAAAAATACATAAAAGTGTGAATTTTTGGAAGGTTTTCTTACCTTTTTTTTCTTCTCTCTTTTCTTTATTTCTTTTTCTTTCTTTCTTTCAGCAACCAAAAGCCTCAAGGGGGTATTTATATCCCCTTTAGGTCGGCAATGAGTGGGGCCCACAAAGCCCATGCAAAATGACTATTGCCCCTCTCCTAAACTTTAACTTCCTCTCTTGTCCCCTAAACTTCTGATTTCATTTCTACCCCCAGGCAACTAGTCTAATGCCCTCCTTGTTCTCATAGACTTAAGGTTTTAAACAAGGTTAATCCACTAATTAATTTTTCTAATTTTTATTTAGTTAAGGTTTATAATTATTTTCATTGTTATTATTTCCAAAATCTAGGCTTCTCTTCTAATACAGCACTTTTCTTTTTATTTCAATTTCACTAACATCTTAAAGTCATGCATTTATGTCTCTATATGCTTCTTAAATCACTTCTAAGGTGGTCGACAAGAAAAATAAAATTATTTTCCATAAGTTTACATTTATTATAACATATAATACATGCTAATGGGATAAGATCATACAGGCCAAACTCGGTTTGGGATGTCACACTAGCCTTAGCCCGACTTAGAGTTGTGTGTAATGAAATTTTCTCCTCTTTGGTTTTAGCTTTTTTCTATGATCACAATTCCTCCTTAATTCTAATTAATAAATTTGGAGAAAGTTGCATACACAAGGAAAAGTGGGTTGAATGTATGGCTTGATTGGTGGATGGTAATAATGAGGGCTATTCGCCCTACTACTTCCTTGTGGGAGTGGGGAGGGGGTCGGTTGTGCTTCTAAGACTTCTTTTTATGCAAGTGTTGGAGAAAATTGATCTTATTTGCAGTTGGGTTTATCAAGAAATCAAATTTTATCTTATTGGAATTTTCCAGATAATTAAAAAATAATTATTTATTTTCTAGTCTAATATTATCTGTTTGCAAAAAATACCTAAATAAAATCATTAACAATCAGTTAAAAGATAGTTAAAAATAACTTAACCACTATATAGTCCATTTTGATTTAGATTCCTCAAGTGAAAGAAATTTTGCAAAAATTCTAACTAATTCTAGACTCTATATATCTGCTAATTTTGGACTTATTACATATATCAAATTTGGTTAAGACTAAAACGTAGGAGTTGTAGACTGTTAATTTAGAAAATTATGGCTTTTGGAATCAACCCAATTCAATCTCCTCATCCGAAGATACGATAATTTTATCCAAGACTAATTCTGAGTTGGAAATTATAGGATGTGTTAGAATTGTGACTTTGGTTTGGACTGGACTAAGTTGCCGACTTTTGGAATTAGTTTTATGCCAAAAATATAAAAGTTGTGGGTCATTGCAATATTTTTAAAAGTCAACGTGAGTCACCCCAATCCGATTTGCATAACTCTAGATGTTGCTCAAAAGTAGACCAAAGGTCCAATAAAACTTTTTTATTGTCAAATCCAATGCATTAACGTGAAATTACGGGCCAATTTTATTTATCTTCAATCCTTAATTATACCGAGACTGAAACGTAAGAGTTATAACCTTTTAACTTATTTTACAGCCCTTTTGAAAGCAGTCCATTTTGACATCTGTAATTTGAATTATGCCTAAAATATTATAGATAAGTCATTCTAAAAATTCTGCTCCAGATTTCAGCACTCAATCAATTTTTACATCTTTCTCTAAACTTTTAAGCTCTAATTGTACTTTTTTTCTTTGTAAACAAACCAAATAAAAGACTCTAAAATAAAAATAAAACAAAATGAATAAGAAAATATAACCATATATTAGGTCATAAATTGATTCGTAAATTTTCATTCCCATGCATCATAACATAAAGAAAAAAATCAACAAGGACAAGGACAATAAACCTGAATTGTGCCACGAGGAATGGAAACTGCCTTGCACTCATCACCGAAAGAATCTCTTCCCTTCTGGAAGAATTTTAACTCTCTTACTTAGCAATAAAACAAACAAATTAAACTTTTAGGAATAAAAATTAGAAAATGATGGCATGAATGAGTCAAATGGAGCTCAAAGAATTTAAAACTCTAGAACTGCAAAATGAAAAATTTAAGATAATCTTAACACATATTTAATAAGTTAACAAGATTATTCATCTTAGCCTCCTCTTAGACCAAAACTTTTTGGCCATTTTGATGGGCACAAATGGTAACTTTTTTCCTTGAAAATAATGAATTATTATTCTTTCCCCAAAAAATGACATATCCATTTATGTTGTCCTTTTAGGCATGTTTGTGTTCCACAGTATAGACAATCTTGCACACATACAGAAAGGTATATATGTATATCATCATGTAACCACATGATAAAGCTGCTCTTGTGAAATTTGTTTTGTTCTTCTTTTTGGATTTTTATTTGTTTTTAGGGAGGTAAGGTTTGAATTTCTTATCAATGGAAGAACGATAAACATTGATACCTCCAGTTTTTATAAATTGAAAGTTCCTTATAAATTAGACCACTCGCATAGCATGAACAATCATATGAATAATATTACCAAAATTGATAACGAAGATGTAATTGTCTTTTAATCTTACATCTCAGATAGGCTTTTCAGTGCATTCTCAAGGACGTGGAGTGGTTGTGATTTGAAATTTTGCCCATGTTCACCAAGTCGTACGCTTGCCTCCAATTGATATATATATATATATATATATGAATAAAATTGTACTTACCACTAGTTTGCCTTCATACTTTGAAATTCTCTTCAACATTAATTACAAATGCATTTCACATCCATTATTCTAAATCATTCTTTTGATTTTTAGATTTTTAAGCATTCAAACAACTCTCGGTTTTAATTTATTGTTTTTTGAAATTTTAACATAAATTATTTTTAAATCACGAATTTAATTTGTTAAAACCAACCACATTCAATCTCCTCAAGAGAAATAATACTTGAGAGTGTGTTGATTCGTACATTTGTGAGTGAATAACTAATCAGATAACTAATTAATTGAGTTAAGTTTGCTAATTAACTAAGTTAAATTTTAATTAAATCTCTTAGTGCAATTAATTAACTTGAATTTTGAATTAATTATGCTAATTTTGTGGGATCTTAATTAATGTAGAAATAGATTGCACATAAACTAACGTACAAATGACAAATAGGAAAACAAAAAATGACAGAAAATCATGGAATAAAATAGAAAATAGATTTTAACTTTGGTAATATGGACATAATTTTATAAAATAAATAAAATAGAGAACTTTCCAAAACTAAAACATAATTTTTCCAAAATAAATTCGAAAACCTATTCTATTTGCTCAAGGTAATGATTTTTGCATTATAGAAAGTTTTACTTTTTTGTTAAAAAAGGGTTTACGTTGTAAAAGGAAGAAAAATTTGTTAAAAATACTTCTTCCCAAATGTCACTCATGTAAAGCGTCATGAGATTTTAGCTTAAATAACTATTTTTATGTTTTTCAGCATAAAAGTTTGTCCTTTATAACATATTTTACTTAAGGTAATAATAAAATGTTTTTCTTTATAATCAAAGATGAAAACTTTTTGTAAAAAAATCTAAATTTTATTATAATACCACCTCTTATTGTGACAAAATTAGCTTAGTTACAAATATTTTTATTATCGAAAGCGCATTTTCTTATGGTGATGCTTTAACTGTGAGAGTGGCTAAGCAATTGGAGCCTTCCGTTGCTGAGTTCTTAATGGAAAAGGTTTGTAATTTCCTCTAACTAGTCGTACTCCTATTTGTTACTTCCTCAGTCAACAATTTTAGTTTGTGAAGTAGATGTTAGACACCATCATGGCAGAACTGGACTCAAATTTTTGGCTACAAAATTCCTTAACTTTTTAACATAGTTATATTCATCTTTGATCTTAGGAACTTGATTATCTAGTTGGAGCTGAGGCAAATCTCCAAAAACCATTGGCAGCAATTTTTGGTGGCTCCAAGGTATCAACTAAGATTGTTGTGATCAAGTCATTGCTGGAGAAGGCCGATGTGCTCTTGCTTGGTGGAGGTATGATTTTTACGTAATACTGGGCCCAAGTGCTCTCAGTTGGATCATCACTTGTTGAGGAAGACAAGCTTCATCTAGCAACATCAGTTATTGAGAAAGCCAAGTCCAAGGGTGTCTCTTTAACGCTCCCTTCCGATGTGTTTGTCGCTGACGAGTTTACTACTGATGCAAACAGCAAGATTTTTTCCTCTCTCTCCAAAAGTAAGAATAAATGTTTGTGAGTAGCTTGGATTTTGGCGGTTGTTAGATTAAAATAACCTATTTATTGATAGTCAGGTAGGGAAGAAGCTCTGCCTTATTAGTTTGATTTGCATGCTTATGTTTCTCAGCATCTGAACTTAATACTTTATTTGTTGTTTTTTATAGATTGTTCCAGCGTTTGGTATCCCTGATGGATGGATGGGATTTGACATTGGGCTTGATACCATCAAAGATTTTGACGAAGCCTTGGATTCAACTAAAACCGTTATCTGGAATGGACCCATGGGGGCGTTAGAAATGGAAAAGTTTGCTGCAGGAACAGAGGCACAGAAAACGCCCTGCGTGCTTTATTTCTCGGTGTTAGCAATCAGCTGTAGTTATTAGATGGCCACTTTTGTAGTTTAGATCCCTATCTCCCGTCACCCAGGACGCTTTCTTTATCTATGTGTTAGCATTGGTCTTCATTTATATCCCTATCTTCCGTCGGACCAATGGTGGCTACATTGAGCTCGGGCTTGGCTCGTTGAGCTCATTTAAGTTAGATCAAGCTTTGGTTGAGATCGAGCTAGCTTAGGAACTAACTTTACTAGCATACTTGTTGCAACTAGGCTTTTTCATTTGAACAAAATTTGTTCTAATTCAAAAAGTTAGGATGTTATTCATAAATATGTTTATACGAATCACTAATTGAAAGTAAAAGATATCGCCTTAGGTATATCTGTTGGTATAAAAATTTTACTACTACATTTCTATAATAATACACATCAGTATTAAATAAACAATGAATATAACTAATTTAATAGTTTATATGTGAGTTAGCTCATGATCTCATGAACAATTCAGCTATGGGTCTAGACTAAGGTATTTGATCTAGAGTATTTGATCGGTTATGGTGCCAGTCATAATAGTTTTCTTCACCACTTCGATAATAGTCGTAAGTCATTTTTGCTTTTTTTTTAAATCTTTAAATAGGTTTTATATGTAACAAATTAATATATTTTGGTTTGTCTATGGCGACCACTTTGACATTAGCTATTTGTTCTGGTTTGTTTCACTTCTTCAAATGGTGCACATTCTTCAATTGGGCTGGAATAAGATCCTGGTCCTAGCTTTTGAGGAGCGTGCTGGGCAGCTTGTTGTGATGCCCTTGTGCCGCTACAGCTCTTCTCTGGTGATTCTATTGTTTGTCCTTCACCTCTCTTGGACTGTAGCTTTTGCAGTTTGATGACAAATAATAGAGGGAAAAAAACAGCAATAAATGATTAGAAGCAAAAAATACAAAAATCAAAAACTAAAAATACTATATATTGAAAACAAAATAAAAGCTAGAATAACCAAAAATAGACAACAAGTTCCGAAATGAGAGAAAATGATAGGAAAATAAAATTAAAAAAATGAAAAACAGAATTGATTATGAATGCTTGAATAGTTGAAGTTACATGTGTATCATTTGCTAGTTGTATCTTATATGATCCCCCCCCCCCCCCCCAATTGCATTCTCATTTACGCATTTGAGTCCAGTTTTAGCTTGCTGTGATTAGCATTGGTAGAACTCCATGGACTGGAGCAAGTTTTTAAATTTCATGCTAATTCCATGTTTGGATGAATCGATGAAACTTAGAATTTTGTGGAAGATTAGTAAACAATTTGGCGAAGTAAACATATCCAGTAGCAATCAGTGGTAGATCACAAAAAGGAACTACAGGACCAATGACCTGGCACAAATCAAACCTCAATTGCGGATTCTAATGATTGATCGCAATAAACACAACAGAGCTCCTAAATGTCAATTTTCCAATGGTAAAGCATGATGGAGACAACCATTATCAGAATTGGAAGAGAATAAAATAAATTAAGCCCTCCATCATGTAAAATATTGGACATGTAAATCAAATGCTCGGTAATCCACGTGGCATACGGCTTGATATCAAGTTTCTAAAAGTTATTGGGGCCAATTTTTTTTTTAATAACATAGAAAATATAAACGTTTTATCGCATTATAATAAAATAATTAAATAAAATAATGCCATGCCTGAATATCAATTATTTGACATGATTCAAACCTACCTTATTATTATATAGCCTAAAAATTAATTAAGTTGCATGGGGCTGGCAATCCATTTATTTATGATTCGATAACAAACAATGGACCACTGTAATATGCAATCATCGGTTTTGTTTCGGAATGTCTTCATTTTTTTCTCTTCATCCTCCAAGAATTATTATTATATTTCTACTTTTTTCTTAGTTTTTTAAAAAGTAATATAAAATAATGAGTATTTGGGTAGTCAGAACGGGCATGCCCTTCAAGGTATATATATATATATATATATATCAAATATCATTAGTCTCTTCAAGTTGATAATATACTTGAGGAGATTGATCTTATTATCTTAGCATTTTGTCTAAAGAATTTATATAAAATAAAAAGTTTATTTGAGAATTATTTTTAGAAAAAATTACCAAGACCATCCACTTGACAAAAATAATTATTCAAAGGCTCAGAACATAAAATAATTACTCGGAAGGCTAAACAAAAATTATTGATCTAGAAGAAATTTCATTTCCCAAAATACCCATCACCACTGCCACCTCCACCGCCACCTCTACACAAGCCCCAACTTGCATGAGCTTGCTTCCACGAATGTTGCCCTGCCTTGTGAGGGCCCTCCTCTCTCTAGTATGTCCATGTTTGTAATTATAGTTCTATACTTATAACATCTATAACAACTTAAAATATACTTATAATTTTATAGAAATATATTTGTAATTTTATAAATTCATGTCTATAGTTTAAATGTAAAAAAGAGTAAAAGGTTATTTTAGAAAATTAAATTATCTTCTGGATCATTATTTTTTATTTTAAACATTCTTGCTCATTAATTACAAAAATGACCCTCCAAGTAATAAATTTTACCAAGCTAAGTAGCTTAGTAATTTTCCCTTATTTTTACTTCAATTTCAATAAATTTATATTAAAAAACTGACAATTCTTTTAACATAAAAAGAATTGAAAAAAGAATTGTAGATTTTATTACAAAGTAATAAGAAAGTAAATATTTTATCCTCGTACATATTATTATGAGAAAGTAATATTTTTGAAGAATGATTTAGTTTTTAATAAATAAAAATGTAAATTCCCTGCTTTATCTAAATTTTGAAGGGATTATTCCATTAAATTATGCAATGATATATATTATTCTTTTGTTCTAATGAAATGCCGCGGTAAAGTATTAAGGTTGCAGTTCACCTTATACATAGTAGTTAGCTGCACATACAATGATCTGTATAAGCTTAAGAAATTTAAAATTGAAATATTAATATTATTACATGAGAGTAATAACTGTTATAAATATATATATTTGTATAGTTATAAGTATGTATCTATTTAATTATAAGTATAAATACGTATAGTTACAAATGTGCGTCTGTTTAATTTTAAGTATAAATATGTATAATTACAAGTATGTATCTATATTGTTATATATCGCATGATAACTATTACAAATAAATATCTGTGTAGTTACATGTATGTATATGTGTCTTAACAAGATTTATAAACACACACATACATACTTGTTATAAGACAAATTCATACTTATAACTATATAAATATATACTTGTAACTAGAAAAATTTTATTTTCATCTCTCACCTGGTATTCTAATTGTAAAATCATCCATGAGGTTTTAAATTTTAGTAATTTTATCATTCTAGCAAATTTCAACAACACATGCCAGCCAATAGAAGTTTAATTTAGTCTTTAAATATACAACAATTAAATAAAATAAAAAAAGGCCTCGCAAATTTTTCTTTTATTATTTTCAACTAAGCATTGACAAGTTTTCTTCTATTTCTATCCCTTTCTATTGTAAATTAATTTATCTGTAGATGTAGTTAGAGTGAGTATTAGTTTTTATATTATGTTGATTATATTTTAATATATGTTAAATTTGTAACTAAATTAAAATATTCAAATTTTGTTAAAATTAATTGATAATATTTAATTTATAAAATCAATAAATTATTTTAAAATCATGCCATATCATATTATAATCGTACTAAAATTTTGTTCTTTAGTATAGGTTTTAAATTTATAAGTGTTGTAATTTTCAACTAGTTGCAATGATTTTTGATTACTTGAACTACGGTTTACTTGATTTTACTGAAAACTTTGATCTCTCTCACTAAAAGAAATGTTGCAATAGATAGATAGATTGTAGTTAACTTTGACAAGTAAATTATTAAAATTTTAATGGTCAACATGAAGTCCAAACAGTTAAACGGGAAGCTTTAATGTTTTTAGCTGAGCTGAGTTTTATTTCCCTTTTTTCCTCACATTTTATTTCTATGAAAATGGAAATGACATGTTTTATTGTGCTTATTCCATTTTGTTCATAACAGAGTATTTTCTGTTATGACATAACAGAGTATTTTCTGTACTCTGTTTAGCTTGATAATCAGTTATTGCAGATAAGTTAAAAGCATCTTTTCGAACACATCTTTAGTGTTAAAGTACTAGATGGAGTCATTAGATTATTGTCTAAAATCTACTTTGAATAAATCAATTTAAAATGTTCCTTGATAGGTTCTATGCATGATCATCAAACCTGATGTTGTTATAAAGTGTATAGAATCAATTAAAACCAATTTAAAATGTTCTCTCTGCACATTCTGTGCATTAGTCTGATGTTATGCTGTTAAAAAATGATAGTAAGTTCAACATTTTTCTCAATTGCCAAAAATTTGCCTTTCTTAGTCATTGCTCTAAGTTGTGCTACGTCACTATAGTTGGTATCTGTCGATAACAAGAGTTATTATTGGCATCCAACTTTGCCTAGCCAATTAGATTATCTAGGACATGTACAAGGAACCCAATGCAAGGCTCTTGAAAGAATCAAACAGACAATAGATCCAAACATAAGAAAACCAAGAACTATATAGTCTAATTTCAAGAATCAACCAAAAATTGAATTGCTTGAAAAACATCATAATCTACATAAGAAAACCAAGAACTATACAGTCCAATAGCACATCTAAGCACCAGGTGTTGGATAGTTAAACTTGATTTGGCCTATATAATATTTTGGACTTAATTTTTGGGCCTTACATAAATTAGCTATATTAGAGCCATGAGCCTAAATTCTAGAAACATTTAATCTAAAATAGTCTTGAGAAAATATCTACCTTTTATCTAGAATAGTCTTGAGAAAATATCTAAATATTTTAGAAATGAGTTTGATATTTTGGTAGAGAATTTTAGAGAAGAAATTGTAATCGTAGGATGAAAAATGTGTTGGCACAATCCTAACCATTCATTGTAGATGTGCCACTAGTATAAATAGGGGGCGAGTCTTTTCATTCTATATCAAGCTAAATTTGAGA